CCCCCCCCGCAATAGCGACTGTGCAGCTATGTACATAGAACTGGCACATTACTAGTGAAGTCTGCCTCTGTCCACTGGATCTAGGAGGTTCTCCGGCTCGCGATTCCATTTCATCTCGCTAAGAACAAAGTGTTTCATCCCAAATCACAACTTAAAAAATGAAAAGTACAACAAAGGACTTCACCGATGCAATGGTTCAAAGACGGAGCCTACTCGATATGGCTCAACGGCACAATTTACAGCCACGGCTGGCTCATGACCTTTTGCTGCAAGGAGAGCTTCCAATAGAGATAAGCGAAAAAAAAATGCGTTATACCGGCTCTCACGAGATATTTTAAAATAAAAATTGCAAATTTTTCAACTAGCCATTGCTGCGCAAACCTCCAAAATGACTCCTTTCAGATAACACCTTGACTGTGGGACTGCTCGGGGTTCTGATCACGAATGTCACAACGTGTTTGCACTCTGCTTGTCCACGCTCTGCCGAAGTTGAGCGTGGGGAAGAAAACACTCCCTCTTAGGCTCGTCCTTAGCAGAGCTCTAAATAGCGCCCATGGGGAAAATTGTGATATCGTGGCCGTCTATGAATTATAGTATGAGTGAGATAGAACAAAAAAGCACCAAAATAACACAGAAGCAGAAGTTACGGTATAAAATTTGGAAAGCTTGAGCGCGCTGGAAAGTGGGCGTAATCGAGGGAGGCGGGGCTTGAGATGGTGTCCAGCGTGGTCAAGGATGGTAGAAATAGCACTCCCTTTTGCAAAATTGCTCAATCGTTTTGCAAAACTTGACACGCAGCAGAACAAGTGGACGCCAGCATTGTATTTCTGGAAGACAGTAGCGCAAAAAGCCATTGAGTCAAGAAGGTAAGAGAGGCCCGGTAATGGATAAGCATTCGCCCGGTGAGCGAAAGATGCGGGTTCAACTCCCGTTCGGAGTCTGACTTTTGCTATAACTCACAACTCTTCTGAAAATCCAGTGACTGTTTCCACAAAGCTATCGAACTGTTCTGGTGATTATCAAGTTCTTCTTTTTTCAGACTACTTATCTGCACCAGTAGCAAGCTGTAGTTTTGCTTTTAGCGCTGAAATTGTTTCTTAGGTTTTCGCTACTTGAAGTCATACTGGGATGAGATGATAGACCGCTGAAACGGAATACATTAGTGGCTTACTCTTGCCTTAGCACCAGTTCGTATCTTTTCCTCCATTCGAATCTCATCCTTGCATTTTTCAGGGAACAGCATGGGCCCGCGATAACTGGATGACAAACAGCAAATGGAATGACGAACGTGACTTTATGATACATAACTGGAAACTGACACAACTGCGAACCTACAGAAGAGACCAATACCGTACATGAGTTTTCGTGACCTTGACATTGAAATTGAGAGTTTCTACCTCTCTGAGAAGCCTTCTCTCAATGAGTGACGAGGATTCTTAATCTGTTACCCCTTTGGTTGTGTCCAACTAACTTTATAGCAACAGTTCCTTTTTGCAGACTGGTAAGCAAAGTCGGATAGTGCATGGTACAATCCTCTCGCAGGGCCTATTGTCTTGTCCATGTGTACATGGGGGTGAGGTATTCCAATCCCCTGTTTATAACACTTTTAGATAAAGAAAGTTCGAAGGAGCACGTCGTAATTATTTTTTTAGGAACACAACATGGCGCTACGACAAGAATCTGCTGGCAACTCGCGAAGAAATCGACAATAGACTACTTAGTTTTGCACGAGAAGTCGACAAACGTCGTGCGCATGCAATGTCACAGGTGCGAGAACTAAGAAAACGCTGGCTCAGCAACAACAAATGGAAAGAAATGATTCCTAAAGGATATCTATGAAATCACACTGTCTGCAATCTACTACTCTAGAGGCGCTTTGTCATGGGTCGTTATCGTTAATTATCAAGCACTAGGAGTAGCCAATTCTTTAAGTGTACTTATAACACGTCCTTTTTGAAAACGCCCATTCGCTCACACATCGCTCAAGTCTAGCATTTGGTATCCGATGTTATGGGTTGTAAAGCCTACGGCTTGCACCTGCGATATTGGATCATTTTGAATTTCACTCCTCATAAAATGTTCCTCCTTGCTTTCTGGGTATGACATCTTGCGTAAGCGAACTGCAGCAAACGAGCAATGATGTAATTAAAAGGCTTCGTCATGCTGTTGAGGCATTTGCTGAAACTTCCTTCCTCCTACTGATGGTAGACAGAGAATGTCTGTACAACACCTCTTCTACCACAGTCGGCGAACACTTAAAATAAAATAAAACTAAACTATACTCAAATATTTGTTATCTGTAACTCGCCACGAGGTTGTTAGAAATACCAGTGGGCTAGCGTTTTTGGCATGACTGCTTCTTCGGAGCCTGGAAGATGGAAACCGATTTATGATTCACACGACAAAATGTTATACTACCCTACGAAATCTTCGAGACACTCTAGTCCACACATAGGTAGATGAAACAAAACAAGTACCGGTCTTAAGATCAAGGGTGTAGATGCTTGTGCAGCAGCGATAAAAGAGGAAACATCGCCAGTAAGAATTGGCACGCTTCAACTCAATGTATCCTGAGAACCGAACGTGAAGCCCGGCTAAGGTTATCCCTGATCCACGAAGTTCTAGCACATTGTTGAGGCTCGCCATTGCGCTCGAAAAAACTCTTTTGTACGAAAGGCGTGTTTCAAGGCTGGACGATGAACGCCAAAATCTTTCGGTCGTCATTCTAATTTCCCGTCTTCGACAAAAACTCCTCTGCTTTCATTCTTTTTTGTTCCTTTCAGACATGATTTCATCGTTTTCGCTTGATTAAAAAAAAAAAGTTTTCCAAAATTTTCGACTAGATAAGGTACCGGAAGTTTTTTCTAGAAGTTATATGCAAATAATAATGCAAATAATATATATAATACTAGGAAGCATGTGTTTCTTGTGACATTTCTCCTATCTTACCGGAAATTTCTATCTTTTCACTTTTAAAAGAAGTCGATTTCGAGCAGACTAACGTTTCTCCTACGGATGACATATTGTCGCCATACAACTTAACTAAACTAACTAAGTGTTAACTAAGTTTTCAAAAAAGCAAATGCTGGCAGCCAATATTAATCTGTTTGCTATTTCATTAGTATTCATATATGAAATCCTGCGAAAAAGAGAGCAATCACATAAAAAACGCGAAAAACATGTTCCTCCGGGGAGTACTCGAATGGCGAAGAAGTGCTTTACGTGTAGTTCAGGGAGTACAATCTTCCTGTAGCGTATAAGCATTATTATTTGTATTTATAGTAAGTGAAAAAGGGAAAAAATCACGAAAAACCAGCTAAGATGCGCGTGGACTCCCGAGGGTGGACGCAGCCCTCAAACGTTTCAAGCCCCTTTTTTGACATCACAATTGCTTGATGGGGTCGATTTTCGCGCTCACGACTTCGGCAAAACTATTTTGCGTCAATTATAGCGGTCACCAAGTTATAGCGGAGCTGGGGTGAGGGGGGGGGGACGATTCCTTACACGATATTCAAACTTCCAGCGCCATGTAGAGCTTTTGCTGAGCTTAACCACGAGTGATAGCTCGGATTGCTAAATCTCCTATATTTATAACACCCCGAGCTTAGCGAAACGACGAGCGAGCGACCAGACTCGGAGTGCCGTTCGTTGAAAGTTGCGCCGGAAATAACTGTTATCACAACCTTAGTATGCCAATCAGTCTGAATACTAGTGTAAAAGGTGGTGGCATCAGTGTGCGCGTGCACAATTCTGTCACCAAGTTGCGTCGACGCCAAGACTGTATAGTCACAATTGGGTTAACGGCGAACTAGGACATCATGTAAAGCATTGTGAAGTGCCGCACGCAGTTTTTGATCGAAAAAATCATTTCGCGCACCGGCATGCAAGCGGTAACCCCTATTATTAAGATCATCCCATTCAAAAAGCGCCCGTGGTTTTATTCGAATAAACAAAGAGGAGAGTAGATAAAAAAGTAATATCTCGGTTTTGAATTAGGTAAATCCATCCTTCACTATTGACTCTCTCCCAGGGCCCCGAAAGCCTTTGGACCTCCGGTACCTTCGATTTCAACAAGTGCGAGTAATTTGCTGTTGATGCCAATTTCGGCGAATGACAGATCATTGTAGCGTTCGCCGTCGAAGAATACTCTTAAAGACACATGGTACGTTCAAACACCATTGAGGCTGTAGAGACTATCAGCTCCACAGCGTGTCCCATTCGTGGTCTCCGCGCCAATCATGCCCATGGAATGCGAGATACAGACCGTGAAATCACGCTAGTTCCTCCATGCTCTCCTCTTACACCTGCAGCGCAGATCCCGTCCTTCATAACATCCGTTGCAAGCGCGCGTATCGCGCGCGGCTCCTTGGCACTTTGCCAAGTCCTTTAATTGCGCTCTCAAATACGAGTAAAACGCAATTTCTTGATGCGGATAACATTGGAGGTGCTACAAAATAAGAACAGAAGATGATGACGAGGGCCAGAACTCAAGAGCAACTCGGCTGCATCCGTAGAACCCATCAGAGGCCGCGCATTCCCAGAAAACATGAGAATAAAAACAATCCAAGCGTCCCACTCGTTTATTCTAAGTATTTCTATGGCTTTGGCGCCGGATTCGCGCCGGATCGTAGAAATTTACAGGCGATTTCAACTAATTTGCCTTTCCTTGATTTTTTTCATTTTTGTTTTGTTTACATTACATCGTTGGTGCTTCATTTCTAGCCTGTGTCATCTTCATCTCCTTGTACATGAATTTTGAAGCATGAGCAACACCTAAAATTTATCCGCATCAGGAAATTGCGTTTTGCTTGTAACAAAACACTAACGACGTATGCCCTTTATCTTTCATGTTTCGTGGAAATACGCGGCCTCCGAGGGATGTTGCAGAAGTGGCACAGTTGCTTTTAAGTTCTGACCCTCGTCATCATCTTCTGTTCTTATTTTGCAGCACCTCCAATGTTATCCGCATCAGGAAATTGCGTTTTACTTGTATTTGAAAGCGCAATTAAAGGACTTGGCAAAATGCCCAAGGAGCCGCACGCGACACGCACGCTATACAGAGTTATGAAGAACCGGAAATCTGCGCCGCCAAATGATGTATAAGCGGAGCAGGAGAACAGCGTGTTATCAAAGGTCCTGTAATCTCCATTCCTGCGATGTTTGCGGCTCTGGGACCACGACAACAACTACATTAGGTCGCAGCTAATATACTCATACACCCTCAATGTGTAGTGCAGCGTAACTCATGTTGCCTTTAATGAATCATTGGAGTGTGAAGCCTTTATGCTTCGGTAATTGGGCCGATTGAAACCCACGTCTCAGTATGCTGTGTGCCCAGCACTGCGCCTACAATACAATTTACTCGAGTCTCACTAGGACGAGCGACCGTGGCTTCTTGTAGTTGTGCCCAGTTACCATCCATTCGTCGATCTGATTGCCGAGGAACAGGCAATATACATCGACAGCGACGATTTTATTCTCTGTATGGAGCCGCCCAAAAGGCACAGTAAGGGAATCCTCTGCTATGATGATCATCCGCTTGCTCCCACGTAACTCCATGATAGATTCTAGCAGGTTCTCATCTGCATTCATAGGTTGTGGGTTTTCACTCCAGGTCCAAGACAACCCATACTTCATTTATAGCCAGGGTGCGTTTTCACAGTCGTGAGTGTTATCTCATGCTGAGAACATTTCCGCTAGAGTCATAGAATCAGTAGTGCGTGCGTGTTTCTACAAGAAACTTGGGTACCCATGCGCAACCCTCTTGACCATCCTCAATTTGTCGGACATTACGCGCGCAGCAGATGCAGCAGGAGTCAGTCTCGGGGAAACCTCGACCAAAGGTCCAGGCTCTGAATCAGACATCTAGCGCTTGACTTCATCCACCCTTTTTCCTTCTGCAGGATGAACATTATGGGACCATCCACGACAACAATTTTTCCTTTTCCTTCTTCGGGTCCTCTCTAACAGATCTTCCACCTTGTATTTTTGAAACAACCATTCACATGCCAACTATAGGTCCAAGCGCAACTAATGAAATTTGAGCAACGCACTTCTCTTTTATTGACGCCCTGATTTGAAAATCGGGCGCTGATTTTCACCACTCGGGCTTCTTTTCAATTTCTCGAGAGCTTCTTCTGGGTAGGTTCACCAAATTTCACAGATACATAGCTAAAGGTACTAGCCTCCAAATGATGTAGTAACCCTCTGCCTTATCCACTTTGCTTTTCTGCCATTCCTCTATATGTCTCGACACTTTTGAATGGGATGACCTAATAGATAGAGTTTCGCCGAAATTTTTTTCAGTTTCTGTGTAAGAATCAGTTGTAATGCCAGAACTTCTCTGCTGCAAACTTTCTATCGACTCTATAGAGCAGCATGCTGGATAACTACAAAATGCAGAACTTCAAGAAAAAACATAAACGCTTCAGCGTAACGACTAGTGAGCCCATCTGAAAATCGTCCAACAGGAAATATGGTGGTTGTTTTGAGTTTGGAGGCGGTGCCAAAGGCGACACTGAAAACAGCCATCTGAATTATATTTTCGAACATTGCTTGATGCTGCACGGCTGTGGTGCAAAAACCATGGAGCTGAGAGGGTTCGAAGCGAGCCAGGTGACGTGATCTATAGCGCACTGCAAAGAAAACGTGAGGTGCGGCTTACAAGGGAATGGTTCAACTTCCCATGGAACTTTGAATGGAGACCTAGGTACATCGATAGAGCCTCGAATGCTGATTACGAATATGCAGATTAAAAGTGCTACGGGGACCTCCCAGACGAGATCTGGGTGGTCAAAGTTTGCGAAAACTCAGTTTTGGCTCGTAAGCGCTGCTGATCG